TTGCTTGAGGTTCCAGACGTACCCACCTCTACCTTGACCACATAAACCTCATCACCAAGAGGAAGTTCAGGGAAGCTGCATTTTGTGGTCTTGTCCTCCCAGTCACAGGGTGGTAGTGCTAGGCTGTTCCCAGCCTCCCACAGCAGAGCTGGACGCTGTGGAAATGGCTGGATTCCTCTGTGTTCTTTCCGATTATCCCTGGGCTCTGAGTCCCCTTTGTGCCATCTGACATCTGATGCCTTCCCAACCACTGCTGAGTTTCTGCCTGGAGCTGGGCCTCAAGGTCCTGGCACACAGAAGATGCGTATCAGTATTATCAACTAATAGTTGATAAATTGTGTTTCTCAACAAATTTGCTAGTGGTCTGGTTTACTGCCTTAGTAATATCTAGTTCCTAATATGCCTATGCATTTTAATGTCTGCACAGTCTGTGATGATGTCACTTCTCTCATGCCTGATGTGTCCTCTCTTTCTCTCTCTTGCTAGTGGTTTATCAATTTTTAAAACCTTTTCTTCTTTATTTGTTTTTGAGACAGAGTTTTGCTCTTGTTGCCCAGGCTGGAGTGCAACGGCGCGATTTTGGCTCACTGCAACCTCCACCTCCTGGGTTCAAGTGATTCTCGTGCCTCAGCCTCCTGAGTAGCTGGGCTTACAGGCACCCACGACCACACCCAGCTAATTTTTGTGTTTTTAGTAGAGATGGGGTTTCACCTTGCTGGTTTGCCAGGCTGGTCTCCAACTCCTGAGCTCAGGTGATCCACCCGCCTCAGCCTCCCAAAGTGCTGGGATACAGGTGTGAGCCACCACGCCCAGCCCCAGCTTAGTTTTTAAAAAGTTGATTTTGGGCCGGGCGCGGTGGCTCAAGCCTGTAATCCCAGCACTTTGGGAGGCCGAGATGGGCGGATCACGAGGTCAGGAGATCGAGACCATCCTGGCTGACACGGTGAAACCCCGTCTCTACTTTAAAAATACAAAAAACTAGCCGGGCAAGGTGGCGGGCGCCTGTAGTCCCAGCTACTCGGGAGGCTGAGGCCGGAGAATGGCGTGAACCCGGGAGGCGGAGCTTGCAGTGAGCTGAGATCCGGCCACTGCACTCCAGCCTGGGCGGCAGAGCGAGACTCCGTCTCAAAAAAAAAAAAAAAAAAAAAAAAAAGTTGATTTTAACTATTCTAATAGGTGTGTAGACATATCTAATAGTGGTTTTCCTTTCATTTCCTTAATGGCTGATGATGTTAAGCATTTTTTCCCCATGTGTTTAGTTGCCATCTATATAGCGTCTTTGATGAAATGTCTGTTTATGTATTTTGTGCACTTCACAAAATTGGGTTGTTTTCTTTTTTCTTTTCTTTTCTTTTTTTTGAGATGGAGTCCTGTTGTGTCGCCCAGGCTGGGGTGCAGTGGCATGATCTCAGCTCACTGGAGCTTCCACCGCCCAGGTCAAGCAATTCAACCCCTCAGCCTCCCAAGTAGCTGGGATTACAGGCATGTGCCACCACACGGGCTGGTTTTTGTATTTTTAGTGGAGAGGGGGTTTCACCATGTTGGCCAGACTGGTCGTCAACTTCTGACCTCAGGTGATCCACCTGCCTCGGCCTCCCAAAGTGTTGGGATTACAGGCATGAGCTACCGTGCCCGGCCTGTTTGTTTTCTTACTATTGAGTTTTGTTTGTTTGCTTTTGGTTTTGTTTTTTTTGTTTTTTGTTTTTTGTTTTTTTTTTTGAGATGGAGTCTCGCTCTGTCGCCCAGGCTGGAGTGCAGTGGCACAATCTCGGCTCACTGCAAGCTCCGCCTCCCGGGTTCACGCCATTCTCCTGCCTCAGCCTCCCGAGTAGCTGGGACTACAGGCGCCCGCCCCTCTGCCCGGCTAATTTTTTCTATTTTTAGTAGAGACGGGGTTTCACCATGGTCTCGATCTCCTGACCTTGTGATCCACCCGCCTCGGCCTCCCAAAGTGCTGGGATTACAGGCGTGAGCCACCGCGCCCGGCCTGGTTTTGTTTTTTTTTCCTCCCAGACTCTCGCTCTGTTGCCCAGGCTGGAGTGCAGTGGCGTGATGTCGGCTCACTGCAACCTCTGCCTGACAGGTTCAAGCAATTCTCCTGCCTCAGCCTCTGGAGTAGCTGGCACCCACCAGCATGCCCGGATAATTTCTTTTTATTTTTAGTAGAGATGGGGTTTCATCATGCTGGCCAGTCTGGTCTCGAACTCCTGACCTTGTGATCCACCCACCTCAGCCTCCCAAAGTACTAGCATGAGCCACGGTGCCTGCTCATTTTTTGTATCTTTAGTAGAGATAGGATTTCGCCATGCTGGTCTCAGACTCCTGAGCTCAAGTGATCCGTCCACCTCAGCCTCCCAAAGTGCTAGGATTACAGGTGTGAGCCACCGCACTTGGCCTCCAGCCATATTTTTCTTTCTTTTTCTTTTTTTTTGAGTCGGAGTCTCGCTGTGTCTCCCAGGCTGGAGTGCAGTGGTGTGATCTTGGCTCACTGCAAGCTCTGCTTCCCGCGTTCATGCCATTCTCCCGCCTCAGCCCCCCAAGTAGCTGGGATTACAGGTGCCTGCCACCACGCCCGGCTAGTTTTTTTTTGTATTTTTAGTAGAGATGGGGTTTCACTGGGTTAGCCAGGTGATCCGCGCACCTCAGCCTCCCAAAGTGCTAGGATTACAGGTGTGAGCAATCACACCCAGCCGCCTCCATCTATATTTTAAAGATAAAATATTTGTGCAGTCTCTATCATTTAATTCCCAAAGTTCCCGCTTTCCCTATGGCATCATTTCCCTTCTACCGAGAGTTTCCTTTGGCATTTCTTTTCAGGCAGGCCTGCTGGCAAGAAATATATGTCTTAGGTTTGCTTCATTTGAGGATGTTTGTATTTTGCCTTTGTTCTTTAAGTATGTTTGCACTGGATATAGAATTCTGGGTTGAGTGGTTTTTTTTTTTTGTTTGTTTGTTTTTGAAATGGAGTTTTGCTCTTATTGCCCAGACTGGAGTGCAATGGTGTGATCTCGGCTCACTGAAACCTCTGCCTCTTAGGTTCAAGTGATTCTCCTGCCTCAGCCTCCTGAGTAGCTGGGATTACAGGCATGTGACACCACGCCCAGCTAATGTTTTGTATTTTTAGTAGACATGGGGTTTCACCATATTGGCCAGACACTTTGGGACCAGGAACTCAGGTGATCCATCCGCCTCGGCCTCCCAAAGTGCTGGGATTACAGGTGTGAGCCACTATGCCCAGCCTTTTTTTTTTTTTTTTTTGAGACGGAGTCTCGTTCTGTTGCTGAGGCTAGAGTGCAGTCACGCGATTTTGGCTCACTGCAACATCTGCCTCTGGGGTTCAAGCAATTCTCCTGCCTCAGCCTCCTCAGTAGCTGGGATTACAGGTACAGACCGCCACACCCAGCTAATTTTTTGTATTTTTAGTAGAGATGGGGTGTCACCACGCTGGTCAGGCTGGTCTTGAACTCCTGACCTCGTGATCCACCTGCCTTGGCCTCCCAAAGTGCTGGGATTACAGGCATGAGCCACCGTGCCCAGCCAAGTTTTTGTATTTTTAGTAGAGAAGGGGTTACACACCGTGTTAACCAGGATGATCTCAATCTCCTGACCTCGTGATCTGCCTGTCTTGGCCTTCCAAAGTGGTGGGATTACATGTGTGATCCACCGCGCCCGGCCCAGGCTGGCTAATTTTCATATTTTTTGTAGAGACGGTTTCACTATGTTGCACAGGCTTGCCTCGCACTCCAGAATGTAAGTGATCGGCCCATCTCACCCTCCCAAAGTGCTGGGATTACAGGTGTGAGCCACTGCACCTGTCTTCTTCAAATATTTTTTCTATCATCATAAAGAATGTGTTAGCCGGGCGCGGTGGCTCAAGCCTGTAATCCCAGCACTTTGGGAGGCTGAGACGGGCGGATCACGAGGTCAGGAGATCGAGACCATCCTGGCTAACATGGTGAAACCCCGTCTCTACTAAAAAATACAAAAAACTAGCCGGGCGAGGTGCCGGGCACCTGTAGTCCCAGCTACTCGGGAGGCTGAGGCAGGAGAATGGCGTAAACCCGGGAGGCGGAGCTTGCAGTGAGCTGAGATCTGGCCACTGCACTCCAGCCTGGGCGACAGAGCGAGACTCCGTCTCAAAAAAAAAAAAAAAAAAAAAAAGAATGTGTTAGCACTTCCAAGTACACTTAAGATTTTGTCAGTTTCTTACTGTGATTCTGTTCTACAAGGCTCATATTATGTGCCCGGTTTTGAACTATTACATCTTCCTAATAGATTGTTTCTTTTATAAAAATATAGTGACCAGCCAGGCTTGGTGGCTCACGCCTGTAATCCTAGCACTTTGGGAGGCCAAGGCGGGCGGATCACGAGGTCAGGAGATCGAGACCATCCTGGCTAACACAGTGAAACCCCGTCTCCACTAAAAATTAGCCAGGCGTGGCGGTGGATGCCTGTAGTCGCAGCTAGTCAGGAGGCTGAGGCAGGAGAATGGCGTGAACCCGGGAGGCGGAGGTTGCAGTGAGCCAAGATTGCGCCACTGCACTCCAGCGTGGGTGACCAAGCGAGACTCCACCTCAAAAGAAAACCCAAAAAACATAGTGACCCTATGATTTAAACATTGTGGGGGGGGGCAGCTGATCCAGCTTGAGCGGCGGGCCGGTGGAGATACTCTGGTAACATGACCCTCTTAATACCAACGGGGGTGGGTCTGTAGCTATGGGTGAGCAGGATGGTAACCGGACGACTTGCATGCTAGATCCGCACTGCCTCCACCTGGGCAGAGCGAACTCTCAAAAAAAAAAAAAAAAAAACACTTTTGTACGTTAATGTCTGTTTTGTGCGATTAATGCAGCTCCTTCAGCTTTCTTCAGTTTCATGCCTACTTTGTATATCCTTTTCTATCCCTTTACCCTCAACTTCCCGTATCCTTGTTTTAGGTGTATCTTTTCTAAAGAACATATGGCTGGTCCAAAAAGAAATTCAATCTGTTAGAATTTGTCTTTACACTTGGTTTGTTGAGTTCAGTCATGTTTATTGAAATTGCTGACATATTTGGATGTGTTGTCAAATCCCAGTGCTTCCAGTTCCTGGCAGTGTGACTTTGGTTAATCAGTTACATTCTCTAAGCCACTTCCTCCTCTGTAAAACAGGGATGGTTGTGTGAGGATGGAGATGTATATAAATTATTTGGTAGACTGGGCAGCACACACAGGCTCTCAGTAGATTCCCTCTTTTCTCCCTCATCTCCTCCCCTTTTAGACAGACATGGACAGACACGTCTCACGACCAAATGGGTGAAGATGCTCAGAGCATCAAGGGGATAGAGATCCAGTTCTTGTGACAGAGACTGAGCAAGTAGGGGGCAAAGAGAGATGTTGATGATTGCTGCGAGTCAGAGCCGGTGTGCAGGGCCAGGCTTTGGGTCGGTCTCTATACAAGGTGGGTCCTGTTCCTGGTTTACAGATGAGGAGGTCCCAAGAGTAGCTGAAGGGACGAGTCGGCTCTGTAGCCTGAATTCAGGCCCATGCCTTTTCTGTTCCCGCCAGCCTGCTGGAAGCCTGTGCAATCATTTCACTGGGAACGTGCATCTCTGCTCTCTGAGTTTTCCCCTAAGCCTGTCACCCCTCAGTCTCTCAACCTCTGCTACAACCTCTGTGGCCATCTCTGCCTGTGTCTGGGACTCCCTCAGAGGTAATTCCCCAAGGTCTCTGTCTCCCTGAGTCTTACCTTCATGTTATGAGCCTTTCTCATCAGTCTTTGTGGCTCCATTTACTCTTGACATAGAGGGAATGGGCCCCAAATACAGGGAGATACATAGGGACAGATGGTGACAGTGACTAGCGCACAACACGCCAGGTCAAATGGTTCCCGTAAGATGAGACCATCAGAGAAACAGAGGCATGAAGAACGACACCCTAACGGTAATGAACAGAAGCTGCAACATCCAGTGACAGACATGGACCCTAAAAATGGGACAGGGACGCAGCATTGTGAGAGGAGACCAGAGAACACATGGACAGGCAGTGTTCATGCTGGCAAAGACTAAGTCCATGACACCAGGGGACCTGGGGCCCTGGAAAAAGACAATACAGTCACATTTTATTGAGGCCACTGCATGCCAGGCTTATCTGGGTGCTGGCCCCAGGAAAATCAGATTGTTCTTGCTCTCCAGGGTTCAAGCTGCTGGGGAGACATCCATGTAAACATACATAAGGACAATGTGGGGCAGAGAGAGCATGGTGACTGCCTCCTGGGGGCACCAGTCACATTCATGTAAGAGACATCAGTCAGGGCCTACTGAGTCTTGTTTGTTGTAGATACTGAGAGCAAGACATGGCCCCTGCTCTCAGGAGCTCATAGTATCATTGGAAAACACAGTACAAGCTCTGCAAGGAGCAAGTAAGTAAAACAATGTGGTAGGAGTTGTAAGGGGAGGTATCTAGGAGGTGCTCTGGAAGCAGAGAGGGCAAGCTGAAGTCGGTTCCCGGAGAGCAGGGAGGCTTCTTTGGGGGACATTTGAAACATTTTAGATGACAAAGGAGAGGAGGGTTCCAGGCACAGGTACAAAGGCACATAGGTGGAAAATGTATGGCTCCTTCGGGAACCACAGTAGTTCTGTGTGGCTGGTGTATGGAAGGTGGAGTCATGGTATGAGATGAGGCCATTTTCACATCACTGCACGCACAGAAAAATGACAATATTCATACATGCATATGAGGATAACTGGAGAGGTTGCTCGGGGCCCAGAGCGGCCTGCATCTTGGCATACTTACACCCTGTTCAGGAAGCTGTGCTATAGAAGGAGATGGGTCGGAGAGCTTTCCACCTTGGAGTGACACAATCAGATTTGAGTAATAGCAAGAGTCCCATGGAGAGTGATACAGGGGCAGAGAATAAGGGCAGGAAGGGGTCAGGAAGGAGACCCTGGCTATAATCCAGGCAAGGGGCAATGAGGGCTCACATAAGGTAGCAGGAGTGGAAAAGGAGGTGCATTAGAGATAAGCTTCAGGTTAAACCAATAGTGCTGGTGACTGGTGGGATGTGGAAGGAAAAGGAGAGAGAGGAACATGTTGGAGAGGTGTCAAGCAGCACCACTGATTACGATAGGAAACCATGAGAGAGGCAGGGTGGAAAAGGCATCTCACAAGTCAGCCTTGGAGTTAGGCACAGAATAGGCTGGAGTGGAAATAGTAGGTGCCAAGGCACAGAGGTGGGCATGGCAGGTGTCCCTTCTGGGCTAAGCAGCAGAAAAGCAGGCAAGAAGAGCCACATGAGAACGAGCTACAGTCTGCCTGCCCAGAGCATCCCGGGATGCTGAGTTCTGAGAGACATGTACCTTCATTTGCCCTGGCCCTGAGAACCAATCCAAATCCTCAGCTCAGCTGCCTTCTCTCTGGGACAGCCCTGAGTGGGAAACAGAGGGTAGCAGTTCAGGGCCCTTCTGGAAGCTTCTCCAGCTGGCCTGAATCACCTTGGCTCATCAGGGTTCCTCAAATACAGAGTTGTTTCTAGACAGCCCGAGTCTGCCCTCAGGCACCTATCATTTTGGCAGCTCATCAATCACCCACCCTGTTTGTGGCTCTTTAGGAACTCAGGGTTTCTCTTAGATGTTGAGCCTCCAAGAAGGCGCTGTGCTGTGCCCCGAGGGTCGATTTCCGGTCACTGCAGTACCGTGATGTGGATCCGCAAGTGAACCATCAGGGCTGAGCTGCGGCTGAAGGCCTTCCCACAGTCACTGCACTTATAAGGCTTCTCTCCTGTGTGGATCCTCTGGTGCTCGATGAGGGAGGAGCTCTGTGCAAAGGCCTTCGGACACACCTTACACTGATAGGGCTTCTCTCCAGAATGGATTCTCAGATGTCGGATCAGGGCCGAGCAGTCGCTGAAGGCCCTGCCGCACACGTCACACTTGTAGGGCTTCTCCCCGGTATGGACGCGCTGGTGCTGAGTCAGGTGCGTGCTCTGGCTGAAGGCCTTCCCGCACTCGTCACACTCGTAGGGCCGCTCCCCCGTGTGCACCCGCTGGTGCTGGGTGAGGTGAGTGCTGCGGCTGAAGGTTTTACCACATTCCCCACATTCGTAGGGTTTCTCTCCAGTATGAATCCTTTGGTGCTGAGTCAGGTGGGTGACTCGGCTGAAGGCCTTCCCACATTCCTTACACTCATGGGGCTTCACCCCCGTGTGGACAACCTGGTGCTGGGCGAGGTGAGTGCTCCGGCTGAAGGCTTTCCCACACTCGCTGCAGGCGTATGCTGTCTTCCGAGAATGGGTCTTCTGGTGTGCCTCGAGCGCCGAAGCACTCTGGAACATCTTCCTACACTCGCGACACTTGGAGGACCTCTTCCCTGAGTACGTGTATGGAGGCTCTGTCCCATAAGCATCCACCAGATCAACTTTGTCTTCTGAAGGAGCCTTCTCTTGGGAGGTGAGGTTTGGCCACGCATTAGAACTGTTCCTCGAGGCACCAGATTCACGGCCACGCTGGTCTGTGGGGGCATCCTTGTAAGGCCCTGAAGTTTTCTTGAAATGGATCTGTTGGGCGATAGACTTTGTCCAGATCTCCCCTGATAGCCCAGACCTTCTCTCTGAGCTGCCCTCAGGTTCACAGGCCTTGTTAAAGGCGGGTCCAAGGGAAACACCTCCCATGAGGGTCTCAGTGACCACATTTGATGGCTCTGACTCTCCCGGGTCACTCTGCTTGCAGCTTGCGTCTGTGGGCTCAGCTCCTGGATCCCATCCTGAAACAATCCGAACCACAGCGTCACTCCTCCTACCACACCAAGCCTCCCTGACTCTGCCGAGGGCCCCGGTCACCCTTTGTAAGGGGAGATGTGGCTCGTTCCTAACATCTGGCCCCAGTTCCAAGGGGAAGTTTCTCATTTGGTGGCTTGGATGACAGAGGGTGCAGGGCTGTCCTCCCATACCATCCAATACTACATCATGGGTTCTCATTTCTCCTCCTCCCACCAAACTCTCTGTCTTTCAAGGCTCCCAAGTTTGGCTCAAGAGTCAGAGGAGAAACCCTGATGTGGAACTGATCTGAAAGACAGAGAGAGAGAGGGTCTGTCCTTGTCAGGACCCTGAGCACATGCACCGCTGCAGGCTCTGATCTCTGTGAGGTTGCAGTTCTGTCCCTCACACTCAACACCTTGCCTGTAGGCCTGGATGTGTCCAAAGGTGCTCAGTGAACTCTGGCTGAATGAGGGAATCAATCCAGATGCCCATGATGGTGAAAATTTCTGCAAGTAGAACCGCAGGGAGAATATGGCTGCTGGGGGTGAGTAGGTGAGGTACCCACCTGGCCTCTCAAGCCCTACGTTATAAAGTACTGTGAAGGCAGAGTGTGGCGGAGGTGCTCTTGGAGATCAGAGTGTGCATGAGGTAGAGGAATGCTCACACTGACCTGCCCTGGATGGGTGCAAAGGACACATAATCTGGCACATCTACTGGATGAATTCCAGGGAGGAGACAGAGACAGGTGGAATACCCACTGCTCAAGTCCACAGTGGGGTTCAGCAGTGCAGAAACTGGACTCAAACCCCAGCTCTACCACCTTAAGCAGTCCTGCCCTCATCTGGGACTCAGTCTCCCCATCTGTAAGCCATGGACGCTGTGCCGCTGGCCTCCCAGGGCCACTAACCATTATCAGGCTCTTGTCATGTGCTGGGCCCCAAGTCCAGTGGGTGACTTCCCTTGTCTCATTTCAGCTTTGACCTGCTCTCAGAAGGAGGTACTGCTGTGATTCTGTTGCAGATGGGGAAACTGAAATCCAGCTGAGGGAAGGTGTTGAGTAACTGGTACAGGATCACAGCTAGTGGCCCAGTTGGGATTTCAGCTCCAGAATCTTCTCCAGGTCCACAGGCAGCCTCTCCTGCTCCCCCAGCCATTTGCTTAGCCCTGCCTCCCACTTTCTTCCTCTACTCCAGAAACATCACACCACCTGCTTTTACCAGAATGCATCAGTGCAAATCACACTGCCGGGCCTCTGACCCCACCATTCCCTCTGCATTTTGCCCTTTCTCTGAGCTTTGGCCAACCCTGTGGGAAGATGGGGCCACTCCCTCTTTCCTCTCCCTGTCTCTGTGACATCTGCTTGGGCACAGACCAACCTCTGTTCCAGAGAGGCCTGTTTCTCCCGGAGCTGAACAAATTATCCTAACAGTTGCAGTTACCATGTATTTAATCTGTGCCAGGCACCGTTTCAGGTCTGCATGGGTATTGCCTTGTATCTCTCAACACCACTAAGGTGGGCGTTTAATCCCCATTTACCCATGAGTAAACTGAGGCACAAGGGAGTCACATGGCGAGGAAGAGAAGCAGTGGTTGGATCTACTGAGCCTTGATGATTCAGCTGTATCCAGACCCCACATTCCTCCTGCGCACTGCACGTTTCCTCCCAGTGTGTGGTACACCCACTTCCTATCTGCTGCCAATAGGCCAGGCCAACCCCATCTCAGACGAGCCACCCCTCCCTGCTCTGGACTGTCCCAAGGCTGGGTCTTCCCTGCATCCCACTGGACTTCCCTGGGTTGGGATGTTTGTGTGGGTCTCTCTGAGTAACAGTGTCCAGCTGAGCCTGGGGCAGGTTTGACTCACCCAAATCCTGGAGGCCAGCACAGGGTGGGCACAGAGAAGGTGCACAGGGACATCTGGTATTTCCGTCTCCCCCAACAGCCACCCCAGGCACCCGGCCCTTCGTCTGGTTTCCTCTGAGAAACAGCCAGTTGCTCACTGACAGGCCCTGGGATTTGGTTGGCCAAACACAAACATAAGATCCCAACCAGGCCAGTGGGAGCTCAGACCAGGAACCTCTTACTGTTATTACCCTGGGGTTTCTACACTGGTAAGATGTAAGCCTGGGGTTCCTGGCTATCTTTGTCCCCTTTGGAAAGAGAACCTAAAATAAGAAGGAAGCTAACACAGAAAAAACCAACTGAGAAACAGAACAAGAGAAGAAGAGAGTTCTGATGCTGTCAACAGATTTTCTGGATATAACCGTATTTGCTGCCTCCTTACCCTTCTTTGCTTCAGCCCATTTCAGGTCGTTTTTGGTCACCTGCAACCAAAACACACCTGTCTACAACAGTGTGTGAGAGTTAGGGTAAAGTACAAATGTGAGAATGAGTGCATGAGTAACCCCAAACCAGAGCCCTGTGCTCCCATGTTCCTGTCCAGCGTGTACCCCCAGTGTGCCATGAATCTGCCCACAGCGCCCCTTTACCTCTCTTGTCCAGCACCTGAGTCAGATCCTCCACCAGCACAGCGGCTTCCTCTCCACTCTTGGGACTCTGGGCTCCCACCCAGGCTTGGATCTCTGGGGGCAGCGCACCCAGGAACTGCTCCAGCACCAGCAGCTCCAGTATCTGCTCCTTGGAGCGCGCCTCGGGCTGCAGCCACTGACAGCACAGCTCTCGGAGGTGGGCCAGGGCCTCGTGTGGACCAGATGCCTCCTCATAGCGGAAGTGCCGGAAGCGCAGGCGTGCAGCCTCAGGGTAAGCAATGTGGTCGTGGCTGGATTCTAGGCCCTGGGAGAGGCTGGCTTCCTCTCCCTCCTCCACCTTCACTTGAAGGAAGCTGTCCTCTTCCCATGGCACTGGGCTCAGGGAGTGCTTGGGGATGGCCATTGGGTAGCAGTGCTCAGCGAGACACAGGATGCTGGAGCCTTGGAACTGGGCCTGCAGGAATGTCAGAGCTTCAGCATCACATGGAACCTGGGCCCTGCCTCATGCCTACAGATCAGGGAAAACACAGGCTTGGGGCCTGTGAGATGCGAAACACTCTCACAAAGACATAGACAATCATAATAATTAGGGAGCTGAGCACTGTTCTAAGCTACTACGGCTTGCATGTAGATTCATTTAAAACTCACAACACGCTCAGCAGGTGAGACTTTCTAGCTATTTTATGGATGTAAAAACAGACACACAGGAGGAAAAGATTTGCCCAAAGTCCCTCAGCTAGTGAAGGGTTAACAGAGAGCTACGCTACAAACCCAGGCAAACCTATAGCCAGCCTGTTTAAGGCGTGCTCCTCCCCCACAGAGCCAAGTCTTTCTCCCTCTGTCTCACATTCCCCAGGAAGCCACATGGTCATTCTCTCACTTTATTTGCTAATTATTTTGTAGTGTTTTAGATTGATACATAATTGACTTTCAGCCTTTCTTCTTTTCTAATGCACACATTTAAGGCTATACATTTCTCTCTAAACACAGCTTTAGCTATACACCACAAGTTTGATATGTTGTATCTTCATTACCATTTAGTTAAAAATATTTTCTTTTCTTTTTTCTTTTTTTTTTTTTTTTTGAGACGGAGTCTTGCTCTGCCGCCCAGGCTGGAGTGCAGTGGCGTGATCTTGGCTCACAGAAAGCTCTGCCTCCTGTGTTTATGCCATTCTCCTGCCTCAGCCTCCCTAGTAGCTGGGACTACAGGTGCCTGCCACCGCACCCGGTTAATTTTTTGTATTTTTAGTAGAGATGGGGTTTCACTGTGGTCTCGATCTCCTGACCTCATGATCCGCCTGCCTTGGCCTCCCTAAGTGCTGGGATGGGATTACAGGCGTGAGCCACTGCACCTGGCCCATTAATTATTTTTTAAAATTTATTTTATTGAGATGGAGTCTCCCTCTGTCGCCCAGGCTGGAGTGCAGTGGCACTATCTCGACTCACTGCAACTCTGCCTCCCGGGTTCAAGCAATCCTCCTGCCTCAGCCTCCCAAGTAGCTGGAACTACAGGTGTGAGCCACCACATGAGGCTAATTTTTGTATTTTTAGTGGAGATAGGGTTTCGCCATGTTGGCCAGGCTGTTCTTGAACTCCTCACCTCAAGTGATCTGCCTGCCTCAGCCCCCCAGAGTGCTGGGATTACAAGCGTGAGTCACCGCGCCCGGTCCCATTGGTCATTTAAAACTCTCCTGCTTCATTGCCAAACAACTGGGGGTTTTCTAGTTGTCTTTTTATTATTGATGTCTAGATTAAGTCTGCTGTGGTCAGAAAACATGCTACGATGGTTTCAATCATTTAAAATTTGCTGAAACTTGGTTTGGGACCCAGTGTATGGTTAATTTTGGTTAATGTTCCATGAATACTTGAAAATAATGCAAAGCCTTCTTAGCTATGACACCAAAAGCATAAGTAACAAAAGAAAAAATAAACTGGACTTCATCAAAATTAAAAGCTTTTGTGATTTGAAGGACCACATCAAGAAAGTGAAAAAGCAGCCCACAGAGTGGGAGAAAATATTTGCAAAACATGTATCTGATAAGCGACCTGTATCTAGAACAACTCCATAGTAAAAAGATGAATAATACTGGGCTGAGCGCGGTGGCTCAAGCCTGTAATCCCAGCACTTTGGGAGGCCGAGACGGGCGGATCACGAGGTCAGGAGATCGAGACCATCCTGGCTAACACGGTGAAACCCCGTGTCTACTAAAAAATACAAAAAACTAGCCGGGCGCGGTGGCGGGCGCCTGTAGTCCCATCTACTCAGGAGGCTGAGGCAGGAGAATGGCGTGAACCCGGGAGGCGGAGCTTGCAGTGAGCTGAGATCCGGCCACTGCACTCCAGCCTGGGCGGCAGAGCGAGACTCCGTCTCAAAAAAAAAAAAAAAAAAAAAGATGAATAATACCATTTAAAAATGAGCAGAGGATGTGATAGACATTTCTCCAAGGAAGATACACAAATGGGCAATAAATACATGAAAAGATGCTTAACATCACTAACAACCAGGGAATTGCAAATGAAAACCACAATGAGATAGCACTTCACACCTGCTGGGATGCCGAGAAGCAGATAACATGTGTAGGCAAGGATATGGAGAAACTGTAATCCTCATATGCTGCTGCCGGGAATGTAAGATGGGATAACCACTGTGGGAAACACAGTCTGGGAGTTCCTCAAAAGCTTAAACAGAGTTACCCCATGACCTAGCAATTCTACTCCTACGTGTATACCCAAGAGAAATGAGAACACGTCCTCACAAAACGTTATACGCAAATGTTCATAACAGCATTACTCATAACAGCAAAAAAGAAACAATCCAAATGTCCATCACCTGATGAATGGATAAAATGCTGCATATACATACAATGGAACATTATTCACCATAAATAGAAACGAAGTGCTGATTAATGATACACCATGGACGAACCTTGAAAACATGATGCTAAGTAAAAGAAGCCAGACACGGCAGGGTGCGGTTGCTCACACCTGTGATCCCAGCACTTTGGGAGGCCGAGGTGGGTGGATTGCCTGAGGTCAGGAGTTCAAGACCAGCCTGGCCAACACAGTGAAACCCCATCTCTACGAAAAAATACAAAAATCAGCTGGGTGTGGTGGCAGGCACCTATAATCCCAACTACTTGGGAGGCTGAGGCAGGAGAATCGCTTGAACCTGGGAGGCGGAAGTTGCAGTAAGCCGAGAGTGTGCCACTGCACTCCAGCCTGGGTGACAGAGCTAGACTCCGTCTCAAAAAAAAAAAAAAAAAAAAAAAAAGGAAAGCATATTAGTGTTTGCCAGAGGCTGAAAAGAGACACAGATGGGAGTGGTTGCTAATGGGTTCGGGGATTTCTTTTGGGGATGATAAAAATGTTCCAGAGGCCAGGCGCGGTGGCTCATGCCTGTAATCCCAGCACTTTGGGAGACTGAGGCGAGTGGATCATGAGGTCAGGAGTTCAAGACCAGCCTGACCAACATGGAGAAACCCCACCTCTACTAAAAATACAAAATCAGCTGGGCGTGGTGGTACACGCCTGTAATCCCAGCTACTTGGGAAGCTGAGGCAGAAGAATCCCTTGAACCTGGGAGGCGGGGGTTGCAGTGAGCCGAGATTGTGCCATTGCACTCCAGCCTGGGCAACAAGAGTGCAACTCCATCTCAAAAAATAAAATAAAAATAAAACTTAAAACAAAAAAATGTTGGCCAGGCACAGTGGCTCACGCCTGTAATCCCAGCACTTTGGGAGGCCAAGCCAGGCCGATCACGAGGTCAAGAGATCGAGACCATCCTGGCCAACATGGTGAAATCCCGTCTCTACTAAAAATACAAAACAATTAGCTGGGCATGGTGGCGCATGCCTGTAGTCCCAGCTACTTGGGAGGCTGAGGCAGGTGGATCACAAGGTCAGAAATTCAAGACCAGCCTGGCCAGCATGACGAAACCCCATCTCTACTAAAAATACAAAAACTAGCCAGGCGTGGCGGCGGGCACCTGTAATCCCAGCTACTTAGGAGGCTGAGGCAGGACAATTGCTTGAACCCGGGAGGTGGAGGTTGTAGTGAGCAGAGATTGTGCCACTGCACTCCAGCCTGGCCGACAGAGTGAGACTCTGTCTCAAAAAAAAAAAAGTGCATTTGATAATTGTTGGGTGTTCTCTCCCTTATTTAAGTCAGGCCTCTACACAAGAGACACCTTATCAGTAAGTCTCTGTGCTTCCACACTGCTTTATTTGCTCTTCACCACCTGATGTATGATACACTTATGTGATTACTTGTTTATTATTTACTTGCCCCTGTTGGAGTGTCAGCACATCAAGGGCAGGGGTTTTCATTTAGGTCATTGCTTTATCCCCGGTGTCTACAGAATTGCTGGGGACATACATCAATAATAAGTTTTGTTCAACACACCTCTATTAGGTGCCTACTCTGTGCCCAGCACTGTATTAGGAATGCAAATACGGGGAAGACATGGGTCCTGGGCTCAACGACCTCAATGGAAGGACAGTGACACACATGATACGATAATCATTATGATGGATATGGGCATAGTATGCTACAGGAATAAAAGAAAATGGGAACAGACAGACAATGGGAACCTATTGGCTATCAGGCCACACTAGCCTTTTACATCTGTTATCCTGTTCAAGCCTTAGCACTGCCCTGTACGTCAGTATTACCACTCCCACTTTCAAAGTTGGAGAAACTCAGCTGCTAGAGTCATCTGGTCAGTAGGCACAAAGCTAGGATTTGAGCTCAGGCAACTGTGAGCATTGAATGCTGGTCAGGGCCAGCAAAAAACTACTTTCTTGTTTTTTTTTTTTTTTTTTTTGAGACGGAGTCTCGCTGTGTCGCCCAGGCTGGAGTGCAGTGGTGCGATATCTGCTCACTGCAAGCTCCACCTCCAGGGTTCACTCCATTCTCTTGCCTCAGTCTCCAGAGTAGCTGAGACTACAGGCACCCACCACCACGCCCGGCTAATTTTTGTATTTTTAGTAGAGACGGGGTTTCATCGTGTTACCCAGGATGGTCTCGATCTCCTGACCTCGTGATCTGCCCACCGTGGCCTCCCAAAGGGCTGGGAGTACAGGCGTGAGCCACTGCGCCTGGCCAAAAAACTACTTTCATGTACTATTGGTGAGGGCGATCAATTAGAATATCTTTGGCAAACAATTTGGCAGTATGTTGTAAGAGTTTTAAAATGGCCAGGCTCTCTGTCTCAATATTAATTCTACTTCTCAGAATCTAGCCCCATTTCTAGATGGGGGTGCTACTGACATTCAGAGGGGGATAATACTTTCTGTTTGAAATTTTTTAAATTTTATTATTATTATTATTATTTTTGTAGAGACAAGGCCTCACTATGTTGCCCAGGCTGGTCTCGAACTCCTGGGCTCCAGGGATCCTCAAGTGATCCTCACCTCAACCTCCCAAAGTGTTGGGATTACAGCGTGAGCCACCATGCCTTGCCAAAAAGTTCATGTTCTTAATGATATGAGAAAATGCTTATGCGATAGTGTTAAGTAAAAGAGTCAGAATGGGCCAGGCACAGTGGCTTATGCCTGTAATCCCAGCACTTTGGAAGGCTGAGGCAGGTGGATCACGAAGTCAGGAGTTCGAGACCAGCCTGGCTAACATGGAGAAACCCTGTTTCTACCAAAAATACCAAAATTGGCTGGGCATGGTGGCGGATGCCTATAATCTCAGCTACTCAGGAGGCTGAGACAGGAGAATCGCTTGAACCTGGGAGGTAGAGGTTGCAGTGAACCGAGATTGTGCCATTGTACTCCAGCCTGGGCGACAGAGCAAGACTTCATCTCAAAAAAAAAGAGTCAGAATGAAAAACTGCATAGAGAATTGAGACCTGTCTTTGCTATACCACTCCCACCTCCCCCAAAAAAGGCATTAAAAACACTGGAAAGTATTAAGTTGTCCTATATGTGGTAGGTTCCTCCCAGGTTGTGGGGCTATGAAGTCACCCTCATTTTTTTACTTTAAAAAAAAGTGTGTGTGTATGTGTGTGTATACATATATATATATATAAAATTATATAATTCACATACCATAAAATTTCCCCTTTTAGTGGTTTTAATATATTCACAAAGTTGTGCAGCTATCACCAAAATCTAATTCCAGACAATTTTCATCATCATGAAACTTATTAGAAGTCACTCCCCATTTCCCTTCCTCCCAGCCCCTGCCAACTACTAATATACTTCTGTGGTTATTGATTTGTCTATTCTTGGCATTTCATATCAATAGGATCATAAAATATATTATATTTTGTGTCTCGCTTCTTTCACTGAGTATGTATGTATTTTAGGTTCTTTTTTTGTTTTGAGACAGAGTTTCACTCTGTTGCCCAGGCTACAGTGCAGTGGCACAGTCTCGGCTCACTTTGAGCTCTGCCTCCCGGGTTCACACCATTCTCCTGCCTCAGCCTCTGGAGTAGCTGGGACTACAGGCGCCTGCCACCATGACCAGCTGTATTTTAGGTTCATTAAAAAACATTTTAATGGGCTAGGCGCGGTGGCTCACACCTATAATCTCAGCATTTTGGAAGACCAAGGGGGGTGGATTACTTGAAGCCAGGAGTTCAAGACCAGCCTGGCCAACACAGCAAAACCCCATTTCTACTAAAAATGCAAAAATAGTCGGGCATTGTGGCAGGTGCCTGTAGTCCCAGTTACTCGGGAGGCTAAGGCATGAGAATTGCTTGAACCTGGGAGGTGGATGTTGCAGTGAGCTGAGATCATGCCACTTCACTCCAGTCTGGGTGACAGAGTAAGACTGTCTCAAAAAAAAAAAAAAAAAAAAAAAAAAAAAAAAAAAAAGAAGAAGAAGAAGAAAAGAAAAAGAAAAAGAAAGTGTTAATGAACCTGAAAATGTTCATTAAAATTACTGTCATCCCCCCTCTGCCAATGATTCCCTACATTCATGGGTAACCATGCTCCGCCTTTCCTAGTCATTCCATTTGCTTAATGCCTGTGTATGGTGCATCTGCTATAGTGCAAGTCCTGTGTACTGTGGCTCCAGGACAGCCCAGCCTCTCTGAGGAAACAGTACAGAGCTAGCGAAGAGTTACCCAGGGTACTCTGGGAAGAGGACTTAGACTAGTACCAGGTATCTGGGATGACACCTGAAGAAAGTGGCAGCTAAGATGAGGCATGTTATCAGTACTTCATTCCTTTCCATAACTAAATAATATTTCATTGTATACGTATACTACATTTTGTTAATCCATTCATCAATTGATGGACATTTGGTTGTTTCTACTTTTTGGCTATTATGAAAATTGCTGCTATCAATAGTAGCGTACAAGTTTTTGTATTGGCAAATGTTTTCAATTCTCCTAGGTATACACCTAGGAGTGGAATTCCTGGATACAATAACTCTATGCTTAACTTTTTTTTTTTGGTTTTTTGTTTGAGATGGAGTCTTGCTCTGTTGCCCAGGCTGCAGTGCAATAGTGTGATCTCGGCTCACTGCAAGCTCTGCCTCCCGGGTTCACGCCATTCTCCTGCCTCAGCCTCCCGAGTAGCTGGGACTACAGGCGGCTGCCACCATGCCCAACTATTTTTTTTTGTATTTTTAGTAGAGATGGGGTTTCACCGTGTTAGCCAGGATGGTCTCAATCTCCTGACCTCATGTACCGCCCGCCTCAGCCTCCCAAAGTGCTGGGATTACAGGCATGAGCCACTGCGCCTGGCCGAGTCCAGCCTATGCTTAACTTTTTAAGAAACTGCCAGGCTGTTTTGCAAATTGGCTGTACCATTTTGCATTCCCACCAGCTGTGGATGAAGGTTCCAATTTCTCTACATCCTTACCAAGGTATTATATACTATGGTAGTTCCCCTTATCTGCAGGGGATGTGTTCCAAGACCCTCCAGTGGATGCCTGAAACCATGGATAGTACTCTGGCTCCAGGACAGCCCAGCCTCTCTGAGGAAATAGTACAGAGCTAGCGAAGAGTTACCCAGGGCACTCTGGGAAGAGGACTTAGACTTATATTTTTTCTTATACATATATACCCATGATAAAGTTCATAAGTTAGCCATAGTAAGAAATTAACAATGACTCATAAAATAGAACAATTATAACAATATACTGTAATAAAAGCTATATGAATGTGGTCTTTCTCTCTCAAAATATTGTACTATACTCACCAAAACTGAACACAAGGGGTGACTACTGTATTACTTTTCTCGACATTCTCTACTTCCCACAGTGAACTTGTTTTCTCTTATAGTCAGGAAGAATACCCTAAATTAAGTGTAACCTCTCCTAGGAGACCTCAACACTTTGCTTTGGCCACACACTACTCCTTACTCAAAGACTTAGCCTCTCTGTCTCCCATCCACGACTCCCACAGTTTTAAGTATTTGCAGTTCTTCTGTTTCCTTTCCTTCAATGTCAGCCAGGACACTCAGTGTGCTTGGAGTCTCTGCTCAAGGAAGTCACCCTGGACAGAGATGCAGGAGGCCTGAGAAAGAGCAAAGGCCTTGGGCACAGGAAGAAGAGAACGTTACTGTAAAACAAGACCCCAATCCTTAAACCTTTTGGTGACAGCTGGTGACCTCTGGCAACCTCTGGCAAAGCTGTGTTTAAGCCCCTTCACTGCACTGTAAAGTTCTCTTGGGTCTCTCAGAGCCTTCCTAAACCCCTTGTTGCCCCTGCTGTTCTTGAGTTCTGAAATCCCTCTCTGACTGATTCCTCTGGGCTCTCTAGGCCTCATCTCAGCTGCCACTTTCTTCAGGTGTCATCCCAGATACCTGGTACTAGTCTAAGTCCTCTTCCCAGAGTGCCCTGGGTAACTCTTCGCTAGCTCTGTACTGTTTCCTCAGAGAGGCTGGACTGTCCTGGAGCCACAGTACACAGGACTTGCCCTATAGCAGGTTCACAATAAACAGGCATTAAGCAAATGGAATGACCAGGAAAGGCTAAGCATGGTCACCCACGAATGCAGGGAATCATCTGGGGAAGGGGAGGGGAAGGAGGAGCATGGGTGTCAGGGATGACAATACATGCAGCAACAGCTTCCAAATTCTCTTTTGCACCCCTGGAACACCTGTTCTGGAGAAATCCCTCATGACAGTCTCTGAAATACATGTATGTGAAACTTCCTCAGCCTCATCAGCCAACCTCAACTCCTATCAGGCTGAGGTTCCCCATCCACAGCTGCTTTACCAACCAAGGAGGGTGGTTCTTTTCATTTCTCACATATGGCTTATACCCAGCCTGATAATGGTACCTACCTCAGAGGGTTGCTATGAGATTATGTGAGGCGATTTATTACAAGTGTCCAGCACAGGCCTGGTGCACAGTAAACATGCAGTAGATGTATGGATTCCATAGGCCCCTGCTACACATAAGCACACACTGGGCGACATATCCGTAAGCCCAGCTGAATGACCAATAGTCGCCCAATTTCAGCTGCAGACATGGCAAAGCATAAATCCTCTCTCATATGCTTGGTAAACTGTTTGTGGATAGCCCAAGTTTTAGTCTCCCTGATAAAAATCTCAGTCAATCATATATTAACACATATTATCTCAGGTACGGTCTGTCAGCCATAGCCTTCAAAATACCCAGACACAGGAAATATCGCAATGTCACCTATAATCAGTCAAATAAACACAGGCCTGGCCAGGCATGGTGGCTCAGCCTGTAATCCCAGCGCTTTGGGAGGCCTAGGCGGGTGGATCACCTGAGGTCAGGAGTTCCAGAGCAGCCTGACCAAGATGGTGAAACCCCGTCTCTACCAAAAATACAAAAATTAGCCAAGTGTGGTGGCGGGCGCCTGTAATCCCAGCTACTCCGGAGGCTGAGGCAGGATAATCTCTTGAACCCGGGAGGCGGACGTTGCAGTGAGCCGAGATTGCACCGCTGCACTCCAGCCTGCGCGACAGAGCGAGACTCTGTCTCAAAAACAAACACAAACACAGGCCCTCGCAGCATTTCCATCACACAGTATTATTCTGATCACAGTCATTCATAATCTTAGTCCCTATCTCAAGGACACATAAAGAATATCAGTCACACTTGAAATCACACCGTCACACACTCACCCTCTCACAGTATCTCACAACCCATCTACAAAGTCTCAAAGGGCAACCATCTCTGTCAGTCACACACTCCGTGGTTAGTGTTACACTCAACCTATCAGAATCACACACTCCAACCCGTCAGATACACACACAGGAGGTGTCAGACACAGAACTGCCTATCAGACACAATAACGGGTTCGTCCCACACCCTCCCAGGCCACTGGTTCTACATTTTATCTGTTGCCTGTCCGCCTGCTCCACACTTCGCCCGCCCCACACCGGTCAATCAGTCCATCCGACACTCTCTCCGTCGGTCCGACACTCTCTCCGTCGGTACGTCCGGCACTCAGTGTGTCAGTCCGCACCACATCCAGTCCGTGAGTGCGTCTACACTGGGTCCGTCGGTCCGTGCACACCCGGTCCGTCCTCACCGGGTCCGTCAGTCCGTCACATCCTCTGCGCGTGTGTCCGGCACTCGCAGTCCGTCTATTCACGGCCCCTAGTCAGCCTCTCACTCTATCCGCTGGGAGGTACCCCGCATCTTGCTCTGGCCACCCCAGACGTTCGCGGCTTCTGGACCTGCTGTACTCCCCTTTGACCTGGACCAGGGCGGAGAACACCCCCGAAACCCACCTCACCAGCACAGCCGGTGGACCCTTCCGGAGGTGCCCGCAGAGACAAGCCAGCTTGCGCGCCCGCCACCCCGGACCACAGCTCCCAGCACGCCCCACGGGCCCACGCCCGCCAGGACTACAATTCCCGGCGTCCTCCGGAAGCTCAAGCGTACCCAGGCGCGGCGCCTGCTGGGAATTATAGTTGTCATTGGTCAGCACGCGGGCCACGGGATCCCAGCCCCGCCTTTGTGGGACTGAGGTGGCGCTGAGTGGGAGAGCAGCAGGGGATGCGCGAAAGGCGGGACGTGGAGGTGAGAGAAGTGTGAAGGCTGAGGGTGACAGTACCTGTGCGAGGCTGAGGGTGAGGGTGGCTGTGTGAGGGCTGAGGGTGAGGGTGAGGGCGGCTGTGTGAGGGCTGAGTGTGAAGGTGCCTGTGTGAGGCTGAGGGTGGCTGTCTGAGGGTGAGGATGGCTGTATGAGGTCTGAAGGTGCCTGTGTGAGGGCTGAGGGTGCCTGTGTGAGGCTGAGGGGTGGGCTGAGGGGGTGTGAGGGCGAGGGAGGGGCCGTGTGAGGGCTGAGGGGTGCTGTGTAGGGTGGCTGAGGGTGGCTGTGTGGGGCTAGGTGAGGGCCTGGAGGAGGTGAGGCATGTGTGAGGCTGAGTGTGAAGGTGCCTGTGTGAGGGGCTGTGAGGGTGAGATGGCTGTGGGCTGAGGGTGGGGGCTGAGGGTGCCTGTGGGGTGAGGGCTGGTGAGGGGGGTGGCTGTGTGGAGGGCTGGAGGGGGGTGGGGGCCTGTGTGAGGGCTGAGGGTGGGTGTGTGGAAGGGTGGCCTGAGGGTGGGGTGAGGGCTGAGGGGTGGCCTGTGTGAGGTGAGGGGGGTGGAGGCTGAGGGTGCCTGTGTGAGGCTGGAAGGCTGAGTGCCTGTGTAGGCTGAGGGCTGTGAGGGCTGGACTGGTGTGTGTGGGGCTGAGGGTGAGGGTGCCTGTGTGAGGCTGAGGGTGGCTGTGTGAGGGCTGAGGCTGAGGGTGCCTGTGTGAGGCTGAGAGTGCCTGTGTGAGGGCTGAGGGTGTCTGTGTGAGGGCTGAGGGTGTCTGTGTGAGGGCTGAGGGTGGTTGTGTGAGGATGAGGGTGCCTGTGTGAGGGCTGAGGGTGGTTGTGTGAGAGTGAGGGTGCCTGTGTGAGGGCTGAGGGTGGCTGTGTGAGGTTGAGGGTGCCTGTGTGAGGGCTGAGGATGGCTGTGTGAGGGCTGAGGGTGCCTATGTGAAGGCTGAGGGTGCCTGTGTGAGGGCTGAGGGTGAGGGTGACTGTGTGAAGGTTGAGGGTGAGGATGCCTTTGTGAGGGCTGAGGGTTAGGGTGGCTGTGTGAGGGCTGAGGGTGAGGGTGCCTGTGTGAGTGTGAGGGAGCCATGCCACTTGCACACCCTCCTTCTGCTCCTGACTCCCAGGAAGGGCAAGGGGGTCACTGGCCTTGGGGTTCCACAGAAAGAGGATTCCTGATTTGATGCTTAAGACCTGTGCCTCAGACGCCTGCCTCTATAACAGAAAGCCGTCCACACAGACACCCCACCTCATCTGGGTACCTCCTCTGGACCTAGACTGGGTCTTCATAGGCAGCCACAGCCACCTGTGCTGCTGCCCCCACATTGCCTCTGGCTTTGGGCTTCTCAAGGACTTCCTGTGTGATGCTGAGTTCCTTAACATGGGGACGATGTGTTGGAATGTGGCAGTGTTCAGGCCCTGGTAGCCAAATAAGGGGACCCACTTCCACCAAATGACAGCAGCAGCTCCCCTTTCCTGAGCACCTCCTGCAGGTCAGGCCAGCCAGCAAACACCTTTGGTGGTACTCTCAACCAATCAAAGGGGAGGTATTATCATTACTGTCTTTTACAGGTTGGGAAATTGGGGCACAGGGAAGTTAAACCAAAGGTTGTTTGGTAAAGTGACTGGCAGGCGGAGATGTGAAACTTTGTGCTTTCAAAATTACATATACATGTTTTACAGAAGTACAAGTGCTCAGCTTAGTGAATTTGGTAAATGCACAGCCCTGTGTAACTAGCATTCAAATTAAACTCTAGAATGTTCTGTGAGGATGGAAAAGTTCTGGAGTTGTGCTGTCTAATATGGCACCATCAGCCCCATGTAGCTCCTGAGTACTAGAAACATAGCTAGTCTGACTGGGAAATGGAACTTGTAATTTTATTTGAATTTAATCATACCTACCATATTGGACGGTGCAGGGCTAGGACATTTCAGCACCTTAGACAGCTCCCCTGTAGTAAGTAGCCCTTCCGGAAAAGGTGTCCCAGCCTAATTTTTTTTTAATTTTAATTTTTTTTTTTTTTAATTTTGAGACGGAGTTTCCCTCTGTCGTCCAGGCTGGGGTGGAATGGTTCTATCTCGGCTTATTAGAGGCTCTGTCACCCGGATTCAAGCGCTTCTCCTGCCTCAGCCTCCAGAGTAGCTTGGGATTATAGGCACCTGCCACCATGCCGGGATAATTTTTGTGTTTTTAGTAAAGACACAGTTTCGCCATGTTGGCCAGGCTGGTCTCGAATTCCTGAGCTCAGGTGATCTACTCTCTTCGGCCCCCCAAAGTGCTAGGATTACAGGCATGAGCCACCATGCCCAGCCCAGCCTCTTCTTGAACTTCATGCAAAATTATGTGCCCTGTTATAGTCTGAGGCCTCAGCTCCATGCTATCAGGTTTCAAGGACAGCAGCCACAGGATACCTATATGAGGACTATGTGAGAACAAAGTGAGATGTCAAGTGGGTGAGTGCTCTAAAGAGAGAAAAATTGATCATTCCAGCTGTACTGAATTCAGGTCCTAACAGAGACTCCCAGGAAGGAAGGGCAGATGTGGGGTCTTTTGTTCCTTCCCACAGAGGCAAGAGTACTGAACAGACTCTTTGGGCCCTGATTTGCCCAGTACCTACACCTTCCTCCCCATCTTATTCCTAAGCTGAGAATGGCAAGTATGATGGTAGTCAGATCTAGGATCAAATCTTCACCACTCTCTGCTGTGATTCTGTGCTGCTCACATCCCTTGGGGTCTGTTTCCTATGTATAAAATGAAACCTCTTGTGAAAAGCTTTTTGCTCATTGATTAATTTAAGGAATGAATTACACTTAATGAAGTTTTGGATTTTATTAATAAAATGTATGGACATGTGTTTTTCTCTTGTTAGATAGGTACCTTTGTAACATCTTTGGTTTTCCTTCTGAGCCTACAAAGCTGACAACATTTGCTGCTTGGTTTTTTGTTTGGTTTTTGAGAGAGTTTCGCTCTTGTTGCCCAGGCTGGCGTGCAATGGTGCAATCTCGGCTCACCACAGTATCTACCTCCTGGGATCAAGTGATTCACCTGCCTCAGCCTCCTGAGTAGCTGGGATTACAGGCATGCACCACCACGCCCAGCTAGTTTTGTGTTTTTAGTAGAGACAGGGTTTCACCATGTTGGCCAGGCTGGTCTCATACTCCTGACCTCAGGTGATCCACCTGCCTTGGCCTCCCAAAGTGCTGGGATTACAGGCATGAGCCACTGCACCCAGCCTGCTGCTTGTGTTTTACAGAAGAGTTTGCCAACCATACTCTGATGGCCTGGGCAGTGATGGAGGGTTTAAAGTGAGGGGTGGCCTCACCAGTCAGGGGTAAAAGACCCTCTCTACCCAATGCTGAGTGGAGAGTGATGAAGGGGGCAATGGGAAGCAGGAGAACTGTGAGGAGGTAGTGGCTTAGAGCAGGCTGAGGAAGGCAGGGCAGTGGAATGAAGGAAGCAGAAGCAGGGTGTGTTTTAGAGGGATATCTGATTTCTGAAAATATCTAGCCCTATACCTGCCCCCTATACCACTGTGACTGCCACCCCACCATCTACCTCACCTGGCACCTCAGGCTCCACCTCACCCACTGCTCTGTCTCCACATTGCTTGGCCTCAGCAGCTACAGGGTAGGGGGCACCTGAGGTCTCAGTCCTGGGCAGAGGTCCCAGGTTGCTAGTGACTCTTGCAGAGACAGGTTTGTTTCCAGGGCCACTGCCACCTTCTCTTTGATCCTA